CCTCAACGCCTTTGCTCAAAGATACCGCACTCCAAGACTTCTCACGAAGGAACGAAAGACTTCCTTCAAGTTTACCACAAGGGAACAACCTCCCTTAAAGTGTATAGAAACACTTAAACACTCATGAATAAAACTCTCACAAAGAGTAGATATGAGTGAACTAGTAAACGCTCAAGAACACGACAATTTCTTCAAGAATTGGCTCTCAAAAAGCTAAGAAAAATAGGAATGCTTATGCAATGAAAGAGTATTGAAATGTTGAAGAATTGTGTGTAACATGAGAGGATTTGGGTGCTATTTTATAGCCTAAAATGGGATCAACCTGTTGCTAGAATTTCCAACAGGATGAAGACAAATTTTTCAGAGATGCACGGTGATAGTCGATTGTCTAGCCTTGATAATCGATTATCAAAAGATTCCCTGTCCAAAAATTTAAAATTCTATCCGTTGGAAGACAATGGTAACACAGATAGTCGATTGTCAAGTTGTGTCACTCGACTATTAGGCCTCTCAGAAGTTTTTGGGTTTAAGGTACAAACGCAGATAATCGAGTGACAAAACATGTCAGTCGACTATCAGATGGTTCGGAACTTAATGTTCAGAATCTGCAGCAGCCAATATTCGATAGACATAAACTGTCATTCGATTATTAGCTGGTAAAAACCATCCAGCGAAAAACTTAACCTGAAAAGCCGAGGTCCAAAAACGAAGTGTTCCCAAAAGTTAAAACCAAGTCTTCGAGGTCGTTTGTCACGTGTGTACGATTTTGACCAATTTTTCACGTGTTACACCGATTGACCAAGATACAAAAGTGGTTTTTATAAAATTATTATTTGGGAACCTTTAGAAAAAATGAGGTTTAAAATATTGAAAACCACCGAGTTGGTTCGGACGCCGAAAACCGAACGTTAAACCCCTAATGACGGACGCCAATGCCGAACGCCGACCGAGGTGGTTTTTGGTCTGGGCAAGGACTAGGGTTTTTAATACAATAAAACTTTTAAAAAAGTTTATTTTGATGCACACAAAACGTTTTATGATTTTGTAAAATTATTTTGACTCTTTGAGAACCGAGACTTGAATTGATTGTCAGTTTTGATCACAAGAAGAGCGACTCGACTGAGTCTTGAGTTCTTGATCTTGTCCTTGAGTCTTTTGGTCTTGTTCAATGCCATTCTTCGCGCCTTGAGTTATTCAACAAAACTCTTCATATCCACGGTGATTTGGCAATTATCAAAACCTGTCAGAAATGAGCACGACTTAAGTTTAACGTAATAAAAAGTGTGTTCCAACAATTTCCCCCTTTTTGATAATGGCAAACAAGATGGGATATGCATAGAGTTTTGATCTTTTTGAAAGAAATTTCCCCTTAATAAAAATTCCCCCTTAAGATATGCAAAGCCCTTATCTTCCCCCTTTTGACATTAACAAAAAGACTTAAAGACCATAAAGATTTTTAATTTATTAAAATAAGGGAAATAGCGGAGTACATAACGGAAGAAAATTTAAAAAAAAATAAATAAAGAAGAGAAGAGAAAAGAGCTAGAGCTCTAGAAGTCCGGTGAAAGATCATCGAGGAGTTGTTCTTCATCGATGTCTTCCTCTTCCTCTTCATCATCATCATCAACATCATCATCATCTTCTTCTTCTTCGGCTTCCTCTTCCTCTTCTTCCTCATCGTTCACCTCTTCTTCTCCACCAACGTTGTTAGTCCCGCTTGGTTCACCCCTGAAGTTTGGCGGAGGAGCGTAAGGGACCATTTGAGCAAAAGGGTAGTTGACAAAGTCAATATAACCGTGAAGCTCACGGCTCAAAATGTTAACGTTTTGGGCCGTTTGGGAGACGTTGGTGTCTATCCGAGAAAGGGTGGCGGTCAAGGCGGCCATTTCCTCGGCTAGAGATGGGGTGTTTGAAGAAGCATCCCTTGGGTGGTGTCGTGGATGAGGCTGTCGAAACAGAGTCTCGTCGGTGCCCGAGTGAAAGGAGGATTCATCAATCTCCCAATTCTTTGTCCCCTTTATCTTCGGCCCAATGTCGGTCTTGATGTTGTACTCATCAAGAATCGCCATGACGAGGAGGGCGTAGGGGAGCGGCCGATCGTCGGAGGTGGCGCTGAACATGTGAGTCATCACAAATTTACAACAATTTATGTTGGCGTTGTGAATCATCGCATGAAGCGTTTTTTATCCTCTTTGGAGAGAGCGGTGTGATTGTACTTCCTTGGCTTGAGGATCCGTGTCAAAACATAAAATATGAATCGAAACATGGGATTCATGGAAGTAATCGTCGGGCGCCGCTGTTGGGGAGTGGGGGCGAAGTTTCGGATTCCCACTTCCTCCAAGAGGGCGGTTTCGTTGAACCGTGCCCCTCCCTCTTCGACGTAGAGACCGAGATCTTCTCAATTCCGACGAAGCCCGGTGAGTATTTGAATGTTCTCCTCATTCAAGTAGATATCCACCCCGTTGACGTTTGAAATCAACGCTCCGTCCTCATCCTTTGTCAAGTTCGAGTAGAAAGCTCAAACGAGTAAGGGTTGATAGTGAGCCTTCTTGATGTAGAGGAGGTCGAGAAAGTTTCCACGTTCGAGAATAACCCGTGCCTCGCGTGGAATTGAATCGTGAATGAAGCGGACGGTGGAGAACCAGGGAGTGAGAATTTCTCGGTGCTCAAACTTCTTCGAGAACTGCGTCACCTCTGCGCGGTCGTTGAACCAAAGGAACGACCCATCGAGGTACTTGTGCGCCGGTGGTGGAGGAGGAGCCGAGGAGGAAGCGACGTTCTTCCTTGTGCGCGATCTCTTTCTTTGTCCGCCTGCAAAAATGAAGAATAATTTGCAAGATTTGATGGAATCTGAAGAATATATTGAGAAGAGATGATTGGAATGAGTAAAAATTGAGTAGAGTTCACCAATTTATAGAGGTTGAGGCTTGGAGATCCGTTGTGGTGGTCAAAATGGTGTTTAATGCACTCCAACCATCTCTGAAACAGTCAAATTTTTTGAAAAATTTCCGTTGTGAGTCGATTTACACAGCCTGTAACTCGACTATCTGAGACCTCAGATTTTCCGCTGAAGGATCTGCGAACTCTGTTAGTCGAGTGACATAAAATTGTTACTCGACTCACACTGGTTTGCTCCTGAAGTGTGAAAAGTTCAGCGGCCCTTGTTAGTCGAATATCAGAATTGTGATACTCGATTGTTTGGGTTCTCAGCTCAAATTCCCCAAAACTTCTGCGGGCTATGATAGTCGAGTATCACAAGTCTGTAACTCGATTTACACTTTGTCTCGAGACCAGAAATCGATTTACTTTGTTCCCCCTGACTTTAATGCCTACAATGAAAACATTTGGTACCCAATTTTTTGATCTTTTGGGTCCTTGAGGATTAGTAACATGACTTTTTAAACTAATAAACACACGCACCCATAGCCACACACGCCAAAGCACACACACATGTACGATATTCACGTTTAAGTGTTACCTTGACCAACTTGTGGTCTTTGGTTGGCGGGTTCCAGTTCACTTGAACCGAATGCCTATACCTTGGTTTGATTTGTGTGGGTTCCGGAAGTGGTATGTGAATCTTCTTCTTTTCATCATAATAGAAGAAGTAATATGGTTTCTTTTGCGTTGATTCCTGCGGGGATCGCTTAGAACTCGAATATCCTTTTTCAAATCTCGCTAGGTTAGTTCTATGCAAAGTGTGTGTTTTGTTATTCGTGCAATGTCTATGCCTACTAAAACACACGGGTGCTATATGACCTACCCTATGCCAATAATGGCATACTACATTTGGATTGTGCATTCTCCTAGGTTGATAATAATTGCTAGGTTTTCTATATTGATTGATCCTAGTTTGAGAAAAGTTTTGCTTATGCATATTTATAAAATTGTTTCTAGGTTCTCTAACATGACCATTATTTATCCTAGTGTTCTTTCCAGGTGGTCTAGTGTTCCTAGTTGATCTAGGTTGTCTATTATTGCTCATTTTATCTCTACTAAGTTGAGCCTTAGGTTGTTTAGGTGGTTGCTCAAATTTTTCTTTATTATTGTTAAATTCATTTTGAAACCCTAAGCCATGTTTAGTAAGTTGTAAATTATCAAGAACATCATTAAGATTTTTATGAGAAACAGCAAACTTCTTCAAGGTTCCTTCAAGTTTTGCAACTTGTTGCTTAAGTGATGTACAAGAACAACATTTGGGACTTTCTGGTTTGTCGGCGCTTCTTTTTCCGAAAAAAATATTCTCTTCTTTAAGTTTTTCATTATCTTTTGATAGTTTATCAACTTCCTTCTCCATGGAAGTAAGTTGTTTCTTCAAATCCTTGTTAATTTTAGAAGCGTTGACATATTCATCATAAAGTTCATTGAAGGCTTCTTGAACATCATCAAAAGTGTAGGAATCTTTAGAAGTGGTACATACCTCTTCCGGTGGTTCCTCGTGTGTCATGAGGCAAAGGTTGGTGCTTTCGTTTTCTTCGCCTTCCGATGATTCGTCGCTGGAATCACCTCCCCACGAGATGTAAGCTCGGTGCTTCTTGAACGGTTTCTTCTCATTCTTGGCATTTAGGAATTTTGGTTTTATATGCCCAACTTCTCCACACCCATAGCATTTGGGTGGTTCTCCTTGCTTCTTTCCTTTTCGTTCAAACTCCTTGCGCATGAACTTATGGAATTTCTTAAGCACGACCCCGAACTCGTCTTTGTCACTCGAGTCCTCCACATCACGTTCTTGACTTGTAGACGCCTTGAGTGCAATCCCATTCTTCTTTTGTTCACCTAAAGAGGGATAAAGAATGGTAGACTCATAGGTTTTGAGGTTACCTCTAAGCCCGTCAATGGTGACATTGGTGATGCCGATGGATTCTTGGATAGCATCGGCTTTGGAGCGCCATTCCAGTGTGAGACTCCGCGAGATTTTTCTCACAAGCTCCTTGTCCGTGTATGTCTTCTTGAGAGCATGAAGATCGTTTATGATTTTTGAAAATCGTTCAAACATATCGTCGATTTTCTCGTTCTCCTTCATACGAAATAGTTCATACTCATGGGTTAGAAAATCTATCTTAGCTTCTCGGACTTGATCCGTACCTTCATATGTGACTTCTAGCTTGTCCCACATTTCCTTGGCGGTGGAACAACAAGAGATCTTTCGGTAGTCATCCGGGTTTACGGCACAATAGATGATGTTGATAGCCTTGGCATTGTTTTCTATCTTCTTGATATCTCGCTCATCATACTCATCTTCGGTTTTGTGCACGGTGGTTTCCCCAACTTTCTTTGTGGGCACTTCTTCACCATTTTTAATTATTCTCCACAAAAGAAAGTTGTTGGATTGAATGAAAATCCTCATCCGCTCTTTCCAATATGTATAATTTGTTCCATCAAATAATGGTGGCCTCGTGGTAGATTCACCTTCACCTATTCCTGCGTATAAATTTTGAGTAGAAGCCATTGATCGTTTCTCTCAAACGGTTAAGTCTTTTAGAGAGTATGGCTCTGATACCAATTGTTAGAAAATAGGCCCAACGCTAGAGGGGGGGTGAATAGCGTTTAAAACAAAATCGCAGGAAATTTGAAACGAGAGCGATAAAGTAAAGAGCGTAAGGAAGGAGCACACTAGATTTTATCCTGGTTCACCACAACGTGTGGCTAATCCAGCCTTCCGAGAGACTCTCTCGAGTTACACTAACTCCGTTAAGCTTAAAGGTGCTCAACAAACCGATACAACTTGAGAACTCGAGTCACACGAGCCTCAACGCCTTTGCTCGGAGATACCGCACTCCAAGACTTCTCACGAAGGAACGAAAGACTTCCTTCGAGTTTACCACAAGGGAACAACCTCCCTTAAAGTGTATAGAAACACTTAAACACTCACAAATAAAACTCTCACAAAGAGTAGATATGAGTGAACTAGTAAACGCTCAAGAACACGATAATTTCATCAAGAATTGGCTCTCAAAAAGCTAAGAAAAATAGGAATGATAATGAAATGAAAGATTATTGAAATGTTGAAGAATTGTGTGTAAAATGAGAGGATTTGGGTGCTATTTTATAGCCTAAAATGGGATAAACCTGTTGCTAGAATTTCCAACAGGATGAAGACAAATTTTTCACATATGCTGGGTGATAGTCGATTGTCTAGCCTTGATAATTGATTATCAAAAGATTCCCTGTCCAAAAATTTAAAATTCTATCCGTTGGAAGACAACGGTAACACTGATAGTCGATTGTCAAGTTGTGTCACTCGACTATCAGGCCTCTCAGAAGTTTCTAGGTTTGAAGTTAAACGCATATAATCGAGTGACAAAACATGTCAGTCGACTATCAGATGGTTCTGAACTTAATGTTGAGAATCTGCAGCAGCCAACATTCGATTGACATAAACTGTCATTCGATTATCAGCTGGTAAAAACCATCCAGCGAGAAACTTAACCCGAAAAGCCGAGGTCCAAAAACGAAGTGTTCCCAAAAGTAAAAACCAAGTTTGAAAAACATTGTATATGGTATAAAATAGTGAAACCAAGACTTGTTTGATAAAAACCAAGTCTTCGAGGTCGTTTGTCACGTGTGTACGGTTTTGACTGTTTTTCACGTGTTAGACCGATTGACCAAGATACAAAAGTGGTTTTTATAAAATAATTATTTGGGAACCTTTTAAATATGCCCAGAGGCAAAAACAAGGTTTAAAATATTGAAAACCACCGAGTTGGTTCGGACACCGAAAACCGAACGCCGAACCCCTAATGCCGAATGCCGATGCCGAACGCTGAACGCCGACCGAGGTGGTTTTTGGTCTGGGCAAGGACCAGGGTTTTTAATACAATAAAAATTTTAAAAACGTTTATTTTGATGCACAAAAAACGTTTTATGATTTTGTAAAATTATTTTGACTCTTTGAGAACCGAGACTTGAATTGATTGTCGGTTTTGATCACAATAAGACCGACTCGACCGAGTCTTCAATTCTTGAGTGTCTTAGTGTTTTACACACTGTAAGGGAGGTTTGTTCCCTTGGTTGTACGAAGGAAGGGCATATTCCTTCGGGTTGATGTCTTGGAGTGCGGTATCTCCGAGCAAGTGTATTGAGGCTTGTGGGACTCGAGTTCTCAGGTTGTAATGGTTTGTTAAGAACCCATAAGCTTAACGGAAGTAATGTAGCTCGAGAGAGTGTCTCGGGAGACTGGTCTAGCCACACGTGGTGAACGAGTATAAATCTTGGTGTGCTCGCTTTACGCTTTTTTATTCCGCTCTTTACTTTATCCCTGCGATTTTTATTTTGCAAAAATTTATAAACATTCTCGTGCCTCACTATTCACCCCCCTCTAGTGAAGGGTACTTATTCTAAGAATTGGTATCGGAGCCTAACTCGCGTCCAAACTTAATCGTTTGAGAGAAAAGCGATCATGGGTTCTTCTTCTAGAAATGTGTACACAGGAATAGGTGAAGGGAAATAAACCACATGGCCACCTCTTTTTGATGGAACCAATTATACATATGGGAAAGAACGAATGAGAATCTATATTCGTTCCACGAACTTCTAATTATGGTTGGTTATCAAAAACAGGGAAGAAGTGTCGATGAAGAAAGTCGGAGACAAGTTGATCCCCAAGACCGAAGATGAATTTTATGTCGAGGACATCAAAAAGGTCGAGAACTATGCAAAGGCAATAAACATGCTCTATTGTGCCGTAAATCCGGATGACTACCGGAATATTTCTTCTTGCTCCACCGCGAAAGAAATGTGGGATAAACTTGAAGTGACATACGAAGGTATGCCTTGTTGGAACACACTTTTTATTACGTTAAACTAAAGTCGTGTTCACTTCTGACAGGTTTTGATAATTGCCAATGTAACACCCTCCGTACCGCGAACCCGGATCACCGCGGTCCAACGAGCCGGGGAGGTCACGTAGACGGTTTTTTTCTTAGGCCCGTCCACAAGAAAACTCCTTGCAATGCTTGTAACTGAAAACCTTTGCTATATTTTATTAAATGATGAAAATGAATTCACTTAAAGAAATGTTTATAGCGGAAGTAAATTTAATTAAAACCATTAAGTCATAAATGACGTAAGTGCGACAAAGGTGGGTTCATGCCCTAAATGCTTTCATAATTAAATAAGTAATTCATCCGGCCCGCATTGTCGTTCATCCGCAGCTCCTATCACCCAGTCATCCGGGTCAGGCTCCATGATCCTCTGACCTACCTGCGTATAGCAAAGGAAAACAACGCTATACGCTCAGCAAAAGCTGAGTGGTAATCTAACAGTAGAATGCGTAGTACATTCACATTGATATAAACATAATCATACCTGTACTAAGGTACGAGGTACCACACAAATATTTGATGATTAATAAGTTACAAATAAACAGTGATGCAGTGCCACATAAACATGATGCATGAGTTAGACTGCGCAGGGACACCCCTGCCCTTCGGTGATCATCCCCACGCGGTAGATGAGCCGAGGAACGCCTTAGTCATCCCGATGGAGACTAGAATGTGGGTGATAGCTAAGCCTAGCTACCATGTACGTACACAAGCCCTCGTGATGAAAACCCGTTGGATCCTGTAGTTTCCTAGACGGGCCCACGGAAGAGGCGCACTGGGCCTGACCCCTTGCCGTGGTATGCAACGTACGCCGTGATCCTAAACATGCGTCTAGGATATACATGATGGTATGAATGCATCGATTGGAGAATGAAGTTATGTTCAACACATACATATATGTTTGATTCCGTATGAAAACAATTTGTTCAACATGATGGCCTTAGGTTCAGAGCTGGCTGATAATCGATTTTCCATTGTTGATAATCGATTATCATGCTGTGCGGCTTCTGTTCCCAAAGTCCTGCAGACTGTGATAGTCGATTGTCACCTTCTGACAATCGATTGTCGAGTTTGAGTGGTCCAAGGCCTCCTAAGTTCAGAGAGGCCTGATAATCGATTATTGCTTCTGTGATAATCGATTATCAGATGAACCAGCTCTGACTCAAGAATCCGCAGGGTCTGATAATCGATTGTCACACTTGCTGGTTCCAAGGAGAAGTCCTGCGCGACTTGATAATCGATTTTCTAGTCCTGTAACTCGATTATCATGGCACGCAGCTCCTCATTTAGCCAGTTTGATTATAATCATCACGTAGGAAGTTTTCGGGATGAACGTATATGTTTTCACAGTAAATGTGCGATGAATTAATGGAGTTTCGAAACGTTTATATTAACGAGTTTGCAATCGAAGAGTCTATATAACGAAACACCATGATAAAGTGGACACACGTAGATTTAGCCGGGTAATCCTATGATTATAACGATATGATTGAACTACGAATTCTAAAGTTAGAGGGCAACGTACTCACCTCTAAACGCAGAGATTTACGATAACGGTAACAGATGAACGAACGGCTAACAAACGGACAACGAACGTTGGGCAACGAACGGCGAACCTCCTGCGTGGTCTCCCTTCTCTTCTACTTCCCGTTTACTCGCCGGAATCCACTCCGTGCCTGCCTGTTTCCTTGTCCGAACAGAGAAAAGGGAGAGGGGAGAGTGTTGAGTGCTTGGTTGGGGGTTACAAATGGGTAAGGGAAAATGAAGGGGAGAGTGGAGTTTTAAATAAAGAAATGAATGGGGGAGTTATGAAGAATTAAGAGGATTAAATAAGAATGATGGTGATGAGTTGTGGCGTGTGAGTTGGTGCTGGGAGTTACATCTCCTAATTTGTTCCATTGTGTAGAATCTTACCTGATCGGTACGCGGTATTTTCCCCGAACGGGTCAGAATTGAGATTTGTTTACGTTTCTGGAATCAGACAGTCAAAACGAATATTATGACATGATCAAATAATTTTTCTAAGGATTTCATTTTCCCGCCTCCGGTCCGAGTTAGTAATTAATTAATTAAATTAATCAATTCTAATAGTCCGGGTCGCAGGGCGTTACAGTTATCCACCCCTTAAGAAACTTTCGTCCTCGAAATTTACATGATCATTGGTCGCTGAAGAGATGAGGATAACAGGTGCGCATGGATTCCTCGGTTTCCCATGTCGCCTCCTCGACGGAGTGGCTTCTCCACAGAACCTTGACCAACGGAATGGTTTTGTTCCTCAACTGACGGATTTCACGAGCCAGAATCTCAACCGGCTCCTCCTTGTATGTAAGGTTCTCGTCGAGGTTGACCGTATCAGCTGGAATCACGTGTGAAGGGTCTGATCGGTACCTTCAGAGCATAGACACGTGGAATACATTGTGAATCTTGCTCAACTCAGATGGTAATTCGAGCCTGTAGGCTACAGGTCCCACCCGTTCAGTGATTGGGTATGGGCCTATAAACCTCGGACTAAGTTTTCCCTTCTTGCCGAAATGCAAAACATTCTTCCAAGGAGATACTTTCAAAACAACCTTATCTCCGACCGCATACTCGATGTCTCGCCTCCTAAGGTTGGCGTAGGACTTCTATCGGTCCGAAGCCACCTTAAGTCGGTCCTTAATCACCTGGACCTTCTCCTCGGTCTCACGAACTAGATCTGGTCCTTCTAACTTCCTCTCGCTGATACCGATGATAGCCTGGAAGCTGTTGTTGTACGCAAACTCCATCAACAAAAGATATCACTCCCAACCATCCCCGAAGTCGATCGCGCAGGCGCACATCATATCCTCGAGGATCTGGATAACCCTCTCGGACTGACCGTCCGTCTGTGGGTGGAAAGCCGTACTGAAATGAAGATTAGAGCCCAAGGCTTTCTGTAGGATCTTCCCGAACTGCGACGTGAAACGCGGGTCACGGTCCAAAATGATAGATGAGGGAACTCCATGTATCCGGATGATCTTGCGGATGTATAGCTCCGCCAGACGCTGTAAAGAGACATCTCGTCGTATCGGAAGGAAATGGGCGGACTTTGTCAAACGGTCCACAATGACCCAAACCGAATCGTTCTTGTGAGGCGACAAAGGTAGCCCCACTACGAAATCCATGGTGATACGATCCCACTTCCACTCGGGAATCGTAATCTGCTGAAGTAGTCCGCTCGGTACCCGGTGCTCAGCCTTGACCCGCTAGCATGTCAAGCATCGCGCCGTAAACTCTGTGATCTCTCTCTTCATCGCAGGCCACAAGTCATGCTTCCGGAGGTCCTGGAACATCTTGTTGCTACCGGGATGCATGGTATATACTGTGCCATGTGCTTCACGAAGGAGTCGTTCCCTCACTTCCCCCGCTGGCACCACCACACGATCCCGATAAAGCAAGACTCCATCCTCTCGTACGGAGAAATCGGGTTTCTCGCCCCGAGAGGCGAGCTCACAAGTCTACTTGCAGAAGTCGTCGCTGCTCTGTGCTGTCTCGATCTCATGGAGCAATGCAGGCTGGACTCGGAGTACGGCTAGAGTTTTGCGACTAAGGGCGTCGGCCACCACATTTGCCTTACTAGGGTGGTAAGCGATATGACAGTCGTAGTCCTTAATCAACTCCAATCATCTCCGCTATCATAGATTCAAATCCTTCTGACTCAGAAGATACTGTAGACTTTTATGATCCGTGAAGATAGCGTCGTCTCGCAGTACAGATAATGCCTCCAAATCTTCAGAGCGAGAACGATCGCCGCCAACTCTAGATCGTGTGTAGGGTAGTTGCACTCATGCGGCTTCAGCTGCGAAGACGCATAAGCTACCACTACGCCAAAAACAGCATCAGACGACTGTTGATTAACTACTGTTTATACAAACACAGTAGTTGGAAAAAAACAGACTACTGTAAGTTTTTCTTGGCAATAAAACTGTAGTCTAGCTGCTATGCTTTAAAACTATTTTTAAAGTTTCGAGAAACGGTAATGTATCATTAGTATTCTGTCTTAGTTCAAAATACAGTTTTTCTTACAACAGTTGTCAATAACAAGTTAAGAATACTCTATTTAAACAATAGTCTGGGTTTTTATTTTACAACTGTTTTTAAACTTATTAGAAACAGTTATCTATTGTTAGTTGTCTGTTTCATATAGTTTTTTTTGCCACTATTGTTTATAATAGGAATAGAAGACTCTTTTGTAACAATAGTCTATGAATTATGGGTAGAACTGTTTTTGAGGTTGTGAGAAACGGTCATCTATTATTAGTAGTCGGTTTCGTAAAAAAATACAGTTTTTATTGCCACAGTTGTCAATAATTAGTTAAGACTACTATTTCCTAACAGAAGTCTAGTTTCCCATTGTATAACTGTTTTTAAACTTATAAAAAATAGTAATGTATTACAAGTAGTGTGTCTCACACTTTTTTTTTCACGGTTATCTATAATAAGTAAAGAAAACTGTGTTTAAGAGAATTGTGCATATTAAGCCTAGAACTATTTTAAAAGTTAAGAATACTCGTTTTAAATAGTAGTCTAGCTCTTAAGCCTAAAACTATTTTAAATGTTCGGAGAAACGGTAATCTTTTTACAATGAAAATGTTTTCGCTATCTAACTTTACAATGAAAATGTTTACAATCAAATAACCGTTGTTCCAAACAATTATATGGACATGAAAAAATAAACAATTGTATTGAAACAAAAGAAAAAGTACATGGACAGGCTGGAAATTATCCTGCTACACACAAAGAGAATTGGGAACCCATATAATCAATTAATCTCACATCATAAAACCAAAAAAACAATGAGAAGATGGCGAGATTCAAATAAGAGTACACAAAATTTATTTAAAACAAAATTAAGAGTACATTGACTTTCTTCAATCCAAAGTAGAAAATAAACAAAATACAAAGAATGAAACTCCATATTCTAAAATTACTCAAATTAAAGAATAAAGACCAAATCTTCAAGGTAAGAGTGCCAATTACACAGAGCTTGGTTTTTAGCCATGGTTTTACTCTCCCTAATGAGTTAAGCTTGACCCTTTGCCTTTGTGGAAGAGAGAACAACATCATCACCCCTCTTAGTCCTTGCACTGCTGGTTGCTTGGCCTCCTGACTTTGGCATGGCAGCATCACTATAACCATCCACAACAGATTCATCACCTTTCAAAGCCTTCTTTTTCTTCTTTTGTTTATTACCCGTTGCTAGTGCCTAGTGGCATGGCAGTAGGTCCAGTTTGACCACCCTCAACTGTCTTCTCCTAGCTCTTTTGGGTGTTTGGCCACTAGTTGTTGTGGTTAACGCCCCATTATTAGCCGGTTTATACCTCCTCCAAAGAGCGTGTAAGGCTCGAGAGTCCATTTCCCCTCTCTTGACATCAAAGCAAATCACAATCTATGTTCGAGACAACAAACTCCTCGTGTTTGAGGTGCTGTAAGTGAAATAAATTAGGTCGATGCCTCTTATATACATTCTTCAAAGAAAAAGTCTTAGCCAAAATAAAGAACTATAACCAAAACATATGGTAACATATTAGTGGTTCAAAACAAAAGTTGGAGTTGATATATGTACCTGGCCTGTCAAAGACCACATATATGCAACTACATCAAAGCAAATCACAGTTGTTCTGGTGCAACTACAGACCAGCTTATGTTTTGGTTTGTGATTTGCAACTATATCAAAAGTACAGGCCAAGTACACATATCAAAGACCACATATATGCAACTAACCACATACCTCATGATGGTGTCTTTGTGATAGTAAGATTCTCTTAGTTGCTTTAAAACCAGTGCTTGAAAAGCTTCATAAAGGGCAAGCAACTCCAACGGCAGATCATCAAAAGTACAGGCCAGGTACATATACCAAAACCATAGCCATAAATTGCAATTTGTAATCCGTGAAGCAAGAAAAAAGTTAATATGAACTATGAGCATAAACATAGTTCCCAAAAAAGATTTATTAATAAAAATTGTGCTTTCAACAGTTAAAGCATACAAAACTAAAAACTGGACTGCAATGCTACACTGTAAACTATGCACCGAGTCCTAGAATTTGCTCGTTTCAAAGGAATCTTTGACTGGAATGGAAACAAAACTTCATACCTTGAAAGAGCATTCCAATCCGCTCAAAATACCCCACAAATTGGATTTCAATTGATCTCGAATCAAGGTTGGTTCAAACCTTTGGGTCCTGAATTCCTAAATTTTCAGTGATGGGCAGTGACACCTTTGGGTCCCCACAGGCTGTTCCGTATTGAATTCGAGAAGTTGTCTCCAAT